AGAAAGCCAAGATGCTTGGTCTCATTCTCCACAATGGTGAAGACCACCCAAAAGCAACTGATTTTCTTGTCTTGAAGGTCAGATGTCACATCAAAAATATTTTACCTATCATCATGTCATGACTGTACTGATTCTGTACTGGTTTTGCCAGTTTGTTAGTGTCCCAAAATTGTTAGCAATTGTACCTGTACCTCCTGACTTTATCCAGAAAGATCCAAGCTGAAGACTTAATTGACTGTAGTAAGGTCTGGATCCTAAAGCCCTTCTTCAAGTGGGTCACTCCACAGTTCTCAAAAGGCTAGTTTGCTCATAGTCAGTTACTGCTTTTCACTTTCTGCACATAAATGCTTCTACAGAAGTTACCACTGTTTCAAACACCAGGAACTGCCCATGGAATTTGTGTAAGCTATTCAAGGGATTAGTTGCAGATAACTGATGCTCTTCTACTCCATATCCAAGTAAGGGTAAAGTATCTCAGGACCAAGTTTTTACAACAATCTAGGAAGGAATAGCTGTAAACAGAAAAAGCTAAAAGATGGTGTTCCAAAACTGACTGTGAGTCATGTGACACAGTATCTATTTCTCCCAGGAGACTGGAAAGCTATAGAAGCCAGGAAGCTGTAGTCTGTGTACAAGGGCCCTCTAACCTTGGCCCTTGGAAGCCTCAAGTCATGGGCAGACCATCAGGAACCCAGGCAGGTTTCCGTGAAAAATCTGTGATTGGAGTAAATTCCACTGAACCAGAAAATTTCCATAAAATGTCAGTGGTTTATCAAATTCATATCTAACCCTGTTTTGCGAGACTAGCAGGAAAGCATTAGTGCTGCACTTCACACTTGGTTAGCATCCCTTCATGGCAAACTTTTTGCCATTCATTTTCTTCATGCATCCTGTCAAACAGACTATAGTTCATGGAATACGTGAACTAGACCTATGTGTGGTTCTAGTTCATAGTGAACTTTTGTATCAGGCTGTACTACAGATCTGAATTGATACAAATCTTGTTCATATAGATCAACAGTTCCTCCTAGTACAAGCATCCATCTCAAACATAACCTTAAAATGCAGCGTTCAAGCAAGCACCTAGGCTAAATCCTGAAGGAAACCTTTCTGTTGACTTCACTGAGGCCAGGATTTACCCTGTGTGTATGGTACACCAGTGAAAAACAGCCTAGGTAGACAGCAGAAGCTGGACAGAATCCCATGTTTGGAAGAGAGGAATGCTTGGATATAAGAATTCAAGCATAGCCACCATAGTCTTTAGTTGCTTTTACAAAAATAATTGTTTTGAAGTTAATGCATTTTTGATACAGTTGTATTCTGTTGCCTGTTTGTAAAACCTGCAAGATCTCTTCAGCCAGGTTCAACCTTTACAGCTACTTAAAGGTTAAGTTCAAATCCACAGCAAGTCATATGAAGCCTAGGTTGTACATCTTAGCCCCCTGCCGTTACCTAATGCTAATGTTGGTGATAAATCACTGCTATCCATATTGCTAACTCATGGTCTTATCTTGATCCCACTAAAATCACCGGCAGATGTAAGCACAGCCTGTCGACTTCTATAGTGAAGTCTGAGCCCTGAGAGAATAAATGCCAACCACAGAAATAAAGATGCTTCCTTTTTGATGGATGCTATAACACCTTTACCCTATATGTTTTATATTGCGTCCACTGACGTGCTATGAATGCCAGAAAAAAAAAGCTCAGATTGAACCTGGTTAATTAAAAGGATTCACACAGATGGTTTGCCTGGTACTTTACAGAGGCAGCTAATTAAAGCAATGTTAGTCAGCACCATTAAAATGCCAGATAAGCTTTGGGAACAATCCTGATTAGGAAGCAAGGTTTACAAATAGAGCTTTGAGCACTGCAGTATATTTGCAGTTAATTAATCTACTTCTAACATATCTGAACTCAGGCACAGAATAATGCATGCTGATATCAATATTAATGCCGAGATTTTTCAGAGTTCAAACCTGGCACTTATTAAACAATCCACAATGACTCTAATTCCACATTCTACAGGAGAATATGATATGAGGGAGTCTGAACTCCTCTAATTAGCCATGATTTAAAAAGCACTAGAAAAGAAACCAAGGCAAGTCCTGGTTGTGCAAAGCCAGTCACACACTCGCAAAGACAGAGAGGGAGGAACTGCACCAGGCAGAGGTTATATTTAGCCGTGCAGTATAAACAAAGCTTCCTTGCAGTTTTAGATAGATGCTGTGTTTGGAGAGGATCAGTTGCACTCTCCAATATGCCGGCTCCTATATATGACTGTATATATTTTTTTTTTTGCAATAACAGTAATGTTCTGAATTGATCTGAAAACTTTTTCTAAACCTTATTTTATGCAACCAAACAGGCCCATTCACTTAATGTGCTAAAAGATAACCATATGCACAGGTATGTGCAGCACAGGACCTAAACGGTGGTCTTATTCCCTGTAATTGAAAGTGGCTTTTCTTATGATTATTTAATCAAATAAGACTTGAAAATAGCAATAGAATTTCATCTTATATTCCAAAGACAGGCAGATGTACATGTGTTTTGGGCTGCATGTTGTGATTTAGAGGTTAGAGGCCTAAATTCTGTGATCAACTTAAATACAGAGAAACACAACTTCCTACTGCAACTCTCCCTGTCATTTTCCAAGGAATAAAAGTTTCACCATCCTCCTTCCCTTATTTAGAAGCCACAGTTTAAAGGCATTTGGTGATTTCATAGTGATCTGAGCAATGTGGTATATACCAAGGTAAATCTGCAGTAAAATTTACTCTCTTCATCCAATACTCCGGAGTCACGGGGTGAGTCATTCCAGTATTGGTCTTTGCAAATGTCATACCACAAGCCAAACGCTGCTTTTGGACAGGCATCCCACAGCAATGCCCTGTAGAGGCTGCATGAACTCATATCCAGACAAGACCCATCTGTATCCTCCTTTTATTTCTTCTCTCATTTTTATTTCTTTCCAGTTCTACTGCTCTTCTGGTTGCCCAAGGGGCAAAGGGATAACTAAGGGCTTGGCAATCTCTCTGCTTTCCATGAGTTGACTCCTGGAAAGCCCAAGAATCTATGGTGACATAAGTTTTGGGAGGTAGCACAGTCCTGAGAAGTGCCTCTTTATTCATGTTTTTCAATATTTGTGCCTAATGGGACAGCAGCTGAATTTGTCACTTGGTTTTTTTTGCTGATGACTTTCAAAGGATGTATCTTAATTAGAGCATACATCTTGCCATTCCAGAATGTGTATTACTAGCAAACCATACAGAAAGTGCCGAAAGCACTGCCTTTCTGTGCCAAGCACAAGTGTTGTCAAAGCTCTGTACTACTTATAAGATTTTGGAAAGGTATCATTAGACACCCTTGATTACATTGAAATAATGATGTATTTGGTGCTTCGAAGAAGGAAGTGCAAATACCATGTCTGTCTCTTGAAGAGAAATTAAATTTCAGGCAAGGAACCCTAAATGGCTAACTTCTGCTATTCTCCTGCAGAATGCTCTTTGCTGACCCACCAGACTCTCAAATACTGTAGTATGTGTATGTTCCACAGCCAGATTTGACATTTACCATTCAAAATATCATTTGATGGACCAATGTAACTAAATATATGCTTTTATGGAGAACTCTAAGTGTCAGTGTTTAATGCCAGTGCATGCCAGCAGAAAACTGCTCTTTCACTTGAGCTCCCAGCTGAAAAAGGTGCATTCTGTGGTGGTACAGTTTCACAAAAAAAAAATATCTCCCCAGTTTTATCTGATAGATGATGAAAGGGGCTACAGCAAAACCTGAATTTTCAAGTCAGGTTTCTTTTACATGGAAACCCAAACCCACTGAATGAAATTTCAGCTTCATTCCTAGAAATTTGCAGTGATTCGGGCTCCAGAGAACAAACAGTCCAGTGCTACTTCCATAGAGCTCTTGTTTGAAATGCCTCTTCCCATGCTGAGATGCTAAATTTGTGTGAATGTAAACGTATAGTGCCAGATCCACTGCCCAATAGGGATCAGGTGACTTACATTTCATAAGTAAAGTATAATCCCCTTGCACAGTTTGTCAACTGCTATTAGTTAAACAATGTAGGGGATGTTTTAACATAAGGTATGGATAGCTTTCTATCTTAGAAGAAAATTTAACCTATGTGGTGCAGAACTCGATATGATCTTGAGTTGAAACAGGAGGTTTCAGGGTGGAATTGACACTGCCATCTTGTGCACTTTGTCACATGCACTGAGTTCTGCAAACAGAACGCACTCATTTGCACACCTGACATTAAAATGTCATCAGCTTTTGGGTGGCTTTTGAAGTTCTGCCTTTGACAAGTCTTGCCCGTTTTGAAAGCAACAGCAGCAACAAATTGTGAAGGCCACTACGAACACACACATAGTACATAGTTTTCTGTTGACACAGTTCCATCATCAGTATCACTGCTCCTCTACCAGAAGGTTTGTGGCTGTGGATGGCATGGAAGCGGCATCATGCATGCCCTGTGGCACAACCTGCCAACCTGCAACCAAGTCTCCTATGGGCTCCAACACTAAAAATCATTAATAAAATGATACCAGTACTAAGAAGGGGGAAACCATGCTAGAACAGTGCTATTGATCGTGGGATTCTGTGTGTATACAAGACCTAATGCCTTCTACATTAAAGCATGAAAAAGCCATGTAAATATAACAAGTGGGCACACACCTGCACTTACCTATCCTAATACCAAGAGAAAATACAGCAGGATGAGACATGGCCATCAGTGCTGGCATTGCAGTTGATCATCAGTGTCTTAAGATTAACTGGGACAGTCAACTCAAAGTGTGAATTATTAAAGTTCAGCAAAATAGCAGCATGAGAATATCACTTGTACTTGGTAGCATGGCAAACCTTGTCCTTTCATAATAAAGAGAAATGAGGGAGAAGGGAAGCTGTTCCTCTCCTGTGTTTGTAATATTGTGAGTTGTCAAGAACGTTTTCATGAAGTATTCCTTTCCCATTGCTTCCAGAAGACTCCCTTTTCTCAGTAAGCAGCAAAATCACCGGGAAATCCTGTGAATACAATGGCACCACCTACCATCATGGTGAAATGTTTGTGGCAGAGGGGCTTTTCCAAAACAGGCAAGCAAACCAGTGTGCCCAGTGCAGCTGCTCAGTAAGTAACATGATTTGACAGAGCTCTGCTCTGCCTATGCTTCATTTCTCCTTTCCAGAGGACATGACACTGAAATAAAAGCAATACATACCAAAGGCTGGGAATTGAGAATTAATGCTGAAACTGGTGAGAATGGTCAGAGCCAGTATGCAGCACGTGGTAAATGCCAGGCTACCTCTTACTCAAACACGGTGGACAAAGCTTACCCTGTCAAGTATCTGCTGTAAGTGAACTAACAGTGCAGAGGCAGCAGGTAACATATTGCTACTTGGCATATATAGAATATTTTACTTCAATCTGACTGGAAAATATAGCACTAAGCCACTGACTGAAACTGAATTCGTTTGGACGGAGCTGATAAGTAAAGAGCCCCACGGGCTGGGAGTGGACAGCTCTGTAAACTGGCACTGGGCCACAGAGCCATTCCTGAGATGACACCAGTTCAAATCCAGTGTATCTGAGCAGTCACCCAGTGACTCTTCAGAACAAGTGTCTGAAGCAAAACATCCCTCTCAACCCAAGCAGCTCTTCAGTATCAAGTATTGGCAACTCTGGACCTCCTCTGATCAAATCATCATCGTATTCTACAAATTTAACAGGCCAAGTACTGAACAGACTTTAGGAGTTTTAGTTACTGCTAAGCTATTCCTCCAGTTTAATGGTAAGACACAATAGAGGGAGAGCAGTGGGGAGAATTTACACTGGCTGATTTTAGTACCAACAATGTCAGGTAAATTTTCAGCCTACAATAATTGCAGCTCTTCTCCTCACATGCTTTTACCTCTTCCCTTTCCCCCCGTTTTTTTTAAGGAAGGACACCTTTCTCTGTATGACAACAAATTTTTAAAAAGCTATTCAGACTTTTCATTGGTCTGACATTCTGCTTTTGCATACTAGAGTGGCCTTTGTGTAAACACACATACTAGATTTAAGCACATCCATAAAAACTGCACATATGGTACGAGACAAATCGATGACTCCTTCTAAATTCTCCTTGTGTTTTACTGGCAGGAAGGAAATGTGTACTGTGGGTTGAAGACTTGTCCCAAATTAACGTGCTCTTTCCCAGTTTCTGTTCCGGAGTCCTGCTGTCCAGTTTGCAGAGGTAAGTTTGAGTGCAGCCACAGAAGGACAGGCTCGGAATTTACTCCTTCCCCTGTCAGAGCCCTGTTGGTGCACCAGCACTCACTCAGGACACGGTCTGCAAGTTTTCTGTCTACTTACAATCCAATGCATATTGGGAAATTAGACCTCGAATTCCAGCAGGGTAACATTGCTGCCTTTGTTTTCCTAAACTGAAACAAGGAGAGAATCCCCTGATGATAAAGTTGCATCCCGATGATGAGGTAAATCGAGGCTTCGAATGATGTATTATTGAAATAGCTGCCACTGCTCTGGGTAGCAAAGCTTTGCGATAAAAAATGAGCTTCTACCTGACAGGCTACCAGACCTGCTCAAGTTATGCAAGACACAAGGATTTCAATTCAGAGAGTATGGCCAGTTACTCCAGTTTAAATTAGGTGCCAATCTATACTCAGGTGACTTCAGTATTTTACTAGCAATTGCATTTTAGATCTTGTACATATAGGGACCTTGATTCTAAGGGCCTTCCCAGCCTTTCTGAATGTCTAAACCTAAATGTCTGTCTAAAAGCCTGTCGAAATGTCTGAGGATTTCTGAAGGTATTTTCTCTCCCTATTAGTATTGTGGCATTTGAATCACCACTTCTAGGGTATCTAAGCACCTATGGCCTGTCCTCAAAGATGCAGATAAGCATGTAAAGGTACCTATGGTTTTCAGAAGTGCCACTCTAGTGATACCAGTGATGCCAGGTTGCTTTGGAAAACTCTCCTGCTTGCACCTTGTGCATCTATATCCTTTTGAGATTCTGCTTGTTTGAACTCAGTACTATTGCATGGTAAAAATAAGGAGTATTATATTGTCGGTTGTGTGATTTTGCCTACGGAGCCAGAGTTGTCAAACACAAACTAGCACCGTCCCACAGTCCTTGTCCTAAGGAGTTTACTGAGTACTCCCGCTGGACTAAAAGCTCTGAGAGGTGAAGGGGCTGAGCCAAAAAGAAGGTACTTCACAGTGCATCAGTGCTTGATAGCGCAGCATGGTGCAGAGATAGTACAGCACGCTTCGAAGGAACGAGTTCCTGGATAGAAGCTGTGTAGCCACAGCAGAGCAGCACGCTGTCTAAGCTACCTAACCTGCAGAGATGCACTGGTAATCACCTTCAGGGTGGCACCACGTAGGACCTGAACTTATCTCTCGGCAGGACAATGCTGTGTGCTGCGTGAATACATCAGCTCAGTCGGAGGCAGGATGAGGCTCTCTCTGCAGTACTCCTTTACATGGAGATTGTTCCTCATCCTTTGCTGCTTTATCATGTCACTCCCCAGTATCTTTACAAATCTTGAAACATTTTGCCAGGAAACTGCTTATAAAGCTTTCTGATCTCAAGCAGGCAAAGTGGCAGTCCTGGCTTCCCAGAGTGAAATTTAGTGATATACTGTTTTAAATGTAGTACACTGACAGTTAAAGTAACTCCTTGCCAATCATCTGATTTCTGCTGTCTGTTCCGTGACAGTTAATTGAGCTGTATTTGAAGCCAACCTCTTCCAGTTACAAAACTCAAACTGACTTTCAAAGAACCAAGTATCAGACATAGCTATGCTGTAAACTAGCCTGACGCTGGAGAAATCAGTCCCTTCAGCCAGAGAGAGAGTCACTAATGAGAAACAAGTTCATTAGCATTTCCATATGAGAGGTGACATTAAATTGGATTATGCAGTAGAGATGACCCAGTGTCTCCACCGATGTTGGGATTTTTAATGTATTCCACTGTTTATTACTCTTATTTAAAAATGTTTAAATGATCATTTATGTCCTAATCAACTTTGTCCTTTTCAATATGGCATGTTTTAGCTCCCCGCTGTGATTCTTACGAAATGCAAACCTTAAGAAAATGTTTGCATCAAGATCTAGTGCAGCTCTTGTGGAGGAAACAGAGTCAGTTTCTGCTCCCTGCATGGCCAAGTATATTAACATAATATATTAAAATTTGCTGATTTTCCTCTTCATTCCTCTGCTATTGACTAGAGAAGGCTCCGAGCACTATGGTTCAGATGCTGATTTCTGTCAAGATCCATCTTCCCCTTAAGTTAAGGGGACGGTTCTCAAACTGCAGAGAGGATAAAAGGCTAATACACCATATGCACTAAGGTGGTGGATCCATGATGGATCTGATCGAGTTAAATCTGAATGAGTTAACTCCAGAACTGGAGGCATAGCTCCATCAGCACCATGGCTGTCTCAAGCCAGTATCACACACTCCTGCTGCTGCAGCACCTATCCTGCTCCGAGGACCCAAGCCAGTGATCTGTGCCATTAATGTAAAGCTCCTGCTGTGGGGGTGCTGCTCTGCATTCCAGTGCGATGCCTGGCACATCTAGACCTGGGCTTTGAGCCACCAGCAAAGCAGCCTTATCTGTACCTGTATCCAAATTCCAAGGCTGGGATAAAATCCAAGCTCAGCTCCACACTAAATGATTTCTCCTGTTCTTGTACAAGTTTTCCAAGAATCAGATATCAGTTCAAGTTCCATGGCTTGTCTTAGCGAGGAACACCTCTAAATACGTGTCTAAAAACTTCTTAAAGCCACATTCTCTCTCTAGCCTGAACTGATTTTTCCCTGCTAGAATTTCCACCACAGCTTATGTTTAGTTATGTTTGTATTTATGAAGTTGTCTTTACAAAGAAAACAGCTGGACACCGCTCCTGAATAGAAACTGAGGGTTTCTTCTTCTCTCCAACTTTCCTTTCCATGAATCACATCTTTGGCTGTGAGGAGCCAGAGCCTGGCTCCGCAAGTCCCTCGCACTGATTCTCAAAAGCATTCATTAATTCTGCGTGATGGGGACAAACCGCACGCGCTCCAGTAAAACCTTTTCTCTTTTAAAAAACAAGCCAGAATGTCCTGACTTTGTTACGAGGGTCCTTGGTGCTACGAGCCTTATTCTGTAGAACTTTTCTTGGCCTGACTCAAAGCAGCAGTGCTGAACATTTCATACTCTACATGCAAATATAGGATCCTATGAGCTTAGATGGGATCTGGTCTCAGAGGGGCAGCTTCTCCTAAATCCTGCCATAAATCATGGCATGTGCCTGGCTTCCTGAAGCCTTGCTGGTTTGTGTCCAATGAGTCAGGCACTGTGCATGGCCTTCACTTCTGTTTGTGGAATGGTCTGTCTTTGTCAAACAGGTGCAGGTACCTCCCTGGTTCATAATCATGCCTGGGCGTGAATTGCGACTTATCAAATTTTATGAAATGATGCATAAATAAGAGGGGGAAAAATATATATATATCTACGAGGACAGGAAATTTGCTGGACAAAATATGGCTTACTTTTTCTTGCTATGTATAATACAATGTTATTTATTAATGGCTACACTTCAGAGCTGACTACAAAAATGTAATTTCAGGATTCAATTCTCAGTCAAGTTAGGTGCCAGGTGAGCAACAGCAACGGTGCTTGAGGGTTCCCTCAGCCCACAGTAGATGGAAGGTCACACAATTTAGTCTTTATGAGCTAAGCTAAGTCATGTCTCCTCACCTTTGAGAAGACATAGCAAATGATTGCTGGAAATTACCTTGCCCATGGCATCTTGTTAAGCCACATAAATCTGATAGTAAATCTTCATCCTAAGTTTGTGTAACATTTGGGAAGAGATCTTCCTTTTGGTCTCTACAGAATCTAGTACAATAAAGTCAGACTACAGACTGACACTTCTACACACTGATGCAACCTCCACCCTAAATTTAGCTGTAAAGCTGGATGAGACTTTTCCCTTAAGTATCTCCCAAGGTGTTGCATGGTTACCCCCCTAACTGCTACTGCTCTGCTTCACATACAGGAGATGGAGAATTATCATGGGAACATTCCGACGGAGATATCTTCCGGCAGCCAGCCAACAGGGAAGCTGTAAGTGTTACGTACAATTTAAAGACATATTTTCCTGCTGTGCTGTGCATGCCAGTACATTGGGGAAAAAAGAGAAAAGGATGGTCACAGGTCTGAATATCTACTGCTTCATCCTAGGTTCTGTGAATCTAGCCCAAAATAGGTCTTTTCCAATTCCGCAAACTCCTTAATAAACTCAAACTGAATTCATGAATGATGTTGAATTATAAACTCCCATGAGCTCCTGCAGGCTCTGGATTTGGTCTTTGCTGTATATGCTGTTAAGAATAAAATTCTACAGTGTTTTCTTTAGTGTGCAAGCAGCACTTTTAAATCATAATCGCAAACACTTACTTCCCAGTTGACATATATACATGTATATATTTACTTCAGGGGCTTCAGTACCTCTGGGGCTGAGAGTATCCATTAACAACTTACTCCTCAAGAGATGATTTTTATAATAGCATTTGAGAGAAGATGAAGAGCTTTTAAGCATTAAGTGCACTACCTAAATACATGAACCAACAGGTCTTGGGATTAGTGAGAGGAATCATGCCTTATAAAATAACTGCTGTAATACACACTATTCCTTCATGCCCACAGGTATTTTGGAAAGTGATTCTCTGAAAACAACCAATGTTTTTGCTCTAGAAAACACACTGCACAGTACTACTGCTACTACTTTCCTTTGCAAATAAAACGAGGCTTCCCAGTCTGTTAGACAGATTCTAGTAAGGTTCTGCTTAGTCTGTGCAAGGCTAACCCTGGCCTTGCATGAGAGTTTAAAGCTGCAAGCAAACAAGAAGCTGGACAGTCAGTCTGGTTGCGCTCTGCTACTGGAGCCCTAGTAGAGAGCAATTTTGATGAGGAAAACTAGACAGGCTTACAATTTTTGTCATCTAATCTTAAAGTGGAGTAGACATCAGTAAAGTAGATGGATATCTAGCTCTGAACATCAATTTTATTACATAGAGCAAAATAAGCACTTCTGGGCTGTGATTCATCTCCTCGTGGTACAAAGATCCACAACAGGTCAGTTCTAAAATTGCCTCTGTCCTGTGACTTGATTAGGGGCTTCAGATGACCGATTTAGATAAAAAGACACCTACACTGACATGTACAGTCTGGTAAGATGAGTTACAACTGTGTATCTGTAGGTGACTTCATTATCGTGTTAATTATCTGCAAAACCTGATTGGCCTTTATTTAGTATGGTGCCATTCATTACAGTTAATAATGTTTGATGATAGTGGCAACACTCTCATCTGTGTTAAGCTTCTAGTACAGCCTCTTTCCTCATGTTCTTTGGAAGGAGACATTTACTTTCCTGCTCTCTTTCTGCCTCCAAACAGAGACACTCATACCATCGCTCTCACTACGACCTGTCACCCAGCTCTGCGAGGCAGGTAGTCAACATTCCACGATTTCCCAGTGCCAGGAGTAACCGTGGAGTCCTACCGGATCCCCAGCAAGCTTCTGGAACAATAGTACAAATCGTCATCAACAACAAGCATAAGCACGGACGAGGTAAAGACAAGTACTGATAGTAGTACTCTGGGTCAGGAATCAATCACCTTCTCAAAATGTACAGCAGAATCTTGGAAATTCACACTGGTGTCAAGAAACCATATGCAAATCAGGGAGGCAAAAAGCAATAAGCTATTAAGGATACAAAATTAGCTCTTGACTGAGATCAGTTGTGCCTACACATACAACAGTGCATTTCACTCCACAACGGCACCACACTATTGTGTTGTTCTCTGAATTACTTTGTGGGACTGTGCTACGTAATTCTGAGAACACATGGGAAGCACTCACCAGGGAAGCGAGCGCTTTGTGCCATAAAGGACACCACGATGCCTTTAGATTCGCGAAATTGTCCACACAGTGACTTGTCCAGTAGGAAATCGTTTGTGGTTATTCTCTTTACACTGTCTCCTACATTGTAACTTCGCTAGCTGTACACAGCATATGCTTAAACTGCCCCACAAATCTGCGAAGCTTTGCCATAGTATCAAGAGGTTTTTTGCCTCCAAGGCTTAGCAAATTATTCTCAAGAAAGAAAATATCATGACTTCCCCCACCCTTAAGCTAATTGTCAGAGATAGTGGGATGCAAGGGCTGCTTTTCCTCCTCCATGACTGATATTAGAGGCAGAATAGACAATTAGCCTGGACTGGATGCCTGAGCTGTAAAGAGGTAAAGTTAACCAAGACAGTGAATCTCCCTCTAAGAATCCTTTAGTTCCTTCTGATAACATAGTATAGGTGATGTTAAGTTATGGGGACAGCAGAACTTTGAGCCAAACCAAGGCAACCCCTACCCAAACGTGACTAAGCCATATTCCTGCAGCATTAAAGGAAGGACTAAAATAGAGGGAAAATATCGATTCTCCAGTTAGTGGGACAGCAGGTTTTGTTCAATAAAAAGGGTGGGATGCTCAATTCCCACAGTGGGTGTACCTCAGTGAACAGAGGTCCGCAGGAACGGGCCAAAGAAGCCATAAAAGAAATGTAAAATGCTGTAAAAATGCATGTTCATCTATCCACAAATACCAGTCAGCATGCACTTAGAAACTACCCACAAAGAGTTAAAAGCCCTGTATTAGGGCCAACTAATCTTTTAAGGTATTAACTAACTGAAGGAATGTTGGCCATAGGATCTTTATTATCCACCTGAACAAGCATGAAAAAACATTCAGATCATGCCAGTGTTTGATGCTGAATCTAGGAGCAGGAATCTCCATGCAGTGCAATATCTTTGACGTGTAATTCACACATGAAGACATCATCAAAGCAATTTCTAACTGATTTGTTTCAGCAAATAAAGAGCGTGCAGATGAATAGCATATTTCTGGATGCAATATATAGTAACTGCCGCAGCTTCAGACACTCACTGCCTGGAGAGCGTCTGAGAGATCCCCATGATGAAAACAGGAATGCTGACCATGTATTTCCCTTTGTTCTTGTGCAATTAACAAGTGTTTTATTAATTAATGCACACGCCCCTTGAGACGCATTTCAACAAGTTAAAAACTAAACACACAACAATTCTCCTGACATGCAAATACTGTGTGCGGTTGTATGGACACAGATTGATCATCCTAAACATGAAGAGCACTGGAAACAGGGCATCAGGGAACTGGAAGTTATTTGCCATATTTTGGCTTCTTCTGGTGGCTTCATCTGCTACCTCAGAGTAATTATTTAACTGTTCTGTGCTAAACAAACCCTTAACACAGAGAGAATATGTATCTACATCATGTCATGTATTATCCGTTCCCCTGTCAGGGAGAAATCATGAAATATTTATGTCCATAAAAGATCTGGAGAACTCTAGCTGGGAAAAAAAAATCCATATAACCATAAATATGACTAATAATATAGTATTTAAGCATGTAAGCAGTCTGCTGCACAGCTGAGTACTTACCAGTTTTTTCATTTATATTTTTCCCCATGTTCTTAATATGCAGATAACACTATTTGCTTTTATTTGAGAAACAAAACTGTTTCCTACCTCTAAAATAAAAACATGTCTTAAGAAAGAGTTAAAAAGTAGCAAATTATAAACCAAATGATAGCGTAACCCCATGAAAGACAATACATTGCAAAGAACACTCCCCATAAATCTCAGTAACTCAGTAAGTATAAGCCAGTTGGTCACATCTGTTACCAGTTAGATGTAAATTTCAGATTACAGATAAAAATTAAATTGCTTTTGAAAGTTACAGGCAAAATAGGAACATATTTTACAAATAAAAGCATTAATAAAAATGATGGCATATTAGAAGAATTGGAAATATTTACAACATATCTCAGCTTCACTTGAGTTGCTTTTAGAAATCAGGCAGTGCCCTTTCTTTCACCTTGTTAGGATTAGTTTGCATTTTTCTTTGTGTTTATAAAATATTTAAAAAGAAAGGAGTAAGGTTTATAGGACAAATGCAAACATGGTGTAAAGCGATATAATTCCCATTAACTGCCGGGTGACCCAAACTGGCTTCCACTAGGCATGGATTTTTCCACTCTCCTTGCCTCAGCTGTATTTCTCTGTCTCCCAAGGGCACTGAAGAATAAATATTCTGAGGTGCTCAGATGTTATTGGAATGAAATTTCAGTCCCATATGCATCCTTTCATGTTCATGTTTTCTTGTGATTTCAAAAGCCAACTGTCTCTATATACCTATAGACATAAATATTTCCACGAAGGATATTAAACTTCATTTTGCAACATTCCCTTGCTTTGTTCTGTGCATTGCGTGGCAGGAACTCTCATGCAAGAGCAATAAAAGGCCCAGGTGGCACTAATCCATCCTGCTGATAGCGTGGCTCTCACCGCAAAAGCCGTGTTCAGCTAAGGGTAAGAAAAGTTGTGCAGATGGCTCGGTAGCAAATGCCACGATCCTGTCATCTGCAGGTTCAGTTTTGGAAGCCAGAGTAGCAGGCTGTGTCCTGTGTGTGGACTGAGATTACGAGGAGGAGGAGGAGGAGGAGTGGGTTTTATAAGCTGGTTAATAATGCACAACTGAAACGCATGTGCTGGAGAGGAGCAAGTCAAATACTTGACTCAGCCACCTTCACTGTTCTTCTCAAAATAGCGACGGACACCAGTGTCAGCAGAGTTGGAATCAAGGCAAAACTGCTCAGAAAAGAGCAATCATAGGCTCAGACTCATTTTAAGCAGCAAAACTCAGAGAAATGGGCCAGAGACACTAACAAATTACATATAGAGACACTGCCTTAAACAAATGTGCATGAATCAAATGAATATTTAGAGAGAGCTAGCCAGTGAACATACCTTTTCCAGTTATACTTTTTCTTCTTTTTCTCTTCTTTCGTAGTTTGTGTTTCAAATGGCAAAACATACTCACACGGTGAATCTTGGCATCCTAATCTCCGGGCCTTTGGAATCGTAGAGTGTGTGTTGTGCACCTGCAACATCACCAAACAAGAATGTAAGAAAATTCATTGTCCAGAACGATATCCCTGCAAATACCCTCAGAAAGTAGAAGGAAAATGCTGTAAAGTCTGCCCAGGTAAACCAAAGTTGATCACAGACCACCTTTTTGCTGTGCACGTAAAGGGGCTTGGCTCAAGCCTTCTGGTCACAATAAGATCTGATGAAAACAGCAATAGCTGTGCCCGTTGTTCAACTGTGTGTGCAGAGGTGCCAGTGTGGGACAGGGCGAGCTGCCTGGCCAGCCCTGCTCTTCAGTGCCGTTCCTCAAATGGGGGGCTTGCTGCCTGGGGCACGTGTGTTCTGAGCAGCCACTGCTTTTCTCTCTACTGTTAGCACGGCTTCCTGACACTCATTTCCAAAGAGAATATTCCAGAAATGTGTACAGAAAGTTCATTACTGTCAAAAGACTCTCCCATCCTTCCTCCACTGCAGTGCTCACAGAACCTTCAAATCATTTTCTAGCTTGTGAAATTTGCATGGAGATAATGTAATTTCTGCTTTTAAAAAATGTATCAGAAGAATTCAAAACTCCTGATTATAAATTGATTGGTGTCAGTTATGTTACTTAATCCTTAAAATAAATACTAACTTACCACAAATTTAGCATCATTTCTTATGCTGCACTAGTGATTAAACTTATGTAGACATTACTTACTCAAATTGATGCCTACAACTAGTGAAAAATCTGGTAATATCAGCCTGCTGATGGTCTGCCAAATGACCTGCCATGTTGCATATGATAGAAAGGGTAAAGGAGCATCCAGTTCCCTTCTGTGCCTTTACTTTTCTAATCTGTATGGCCCATTTCTGTGTTTGTTTGGGGATGCATTGGATGGAAATGCTCTGAGGAAATGAGGTGTTTGGCCATACATAGAAATCCTTCATGGAATGCACACTTCTCATTTTCTCTTGCTTACTGGGAAAAAGTACGATGCAGTGGCAGTGGGCAGGCAGGAGGTGTGTATCTAGATCCTTTTGGATACTTGTGAATCAGAGATCCACAGCTTTTATTGGGCTTGCTCAAGATGAGAACAGTCAGCAAAACCTGGCTAACAGGCTTCAACAGAAAATTTAATAGCAAAAAGAAAGTTACTGTCTTTTTCTTTGAGATTCTATGTGCCAATTTTTAAGAAAGCTGAACCTCTTCCTGCAGCCTGTCTTGTATGTGTGGAGATGTGTTAAATATTAGTTTTTTCCACAAACAGCAGTCTGAGTTTCTGAGATGCATCATCTCTCTTACATTCTTGTCCAACTTCCAATTGCCAACAGAATAATTACAATTTCTACTTACATGCTGTATGACTTTACCAGGTGGGCAAGAGACAATGTGCACTGTGGCTGGCCCAGGCTTGCACTGGCCAGCAGGCTGCTGCCCAGCAGAATGCAAACCTTGTGGGTTCCACCTGCCCTTGTCCTCAGCAAAGCATTAATTTCTCTCTTCACTCCGTCCAACCACCAGTTTTCATTTAGTTACTTTATTACCTCTGAGACTTCTACCACTATTTCAAATATGCTTGAAAAGTGAACAACAGGTTCAAAATTGTGAGAAGTCTCACAGACCACGTGGTTTTATGCAGCTCATTTCCTTATGAAACTGGATTATAAACATGAATACTGTCTTGCCACCACAGACGGGCCACCAGAACCTAACAGAACAGAACACTGTTAAATGTCTGGGGCTTAGTGGGAGATGGATTTGAGTGGCCATACGAGTGAAAATTCTGCTTTTAAACTAAACCTGCTTGGCTATCAATGTCAAGTAAGTTCTGGAGAACTTGATTACAGCTGTAGTATGTGTTTTGGGCTCTTTTTAAACAGAAGAAGTGCCAACTCAAACCTTTGACAACAAAGATTACTTCTGTGGGAAAGAGACTTTTCCCGTCTATGAATCCGTTTTCACAGAGGAAGGAGAGACCATCAGAAAAATTGCAGTAGAGACTGAAAAGCCACCTCAAGTAGAAATACATGTGTGGACAATCAGAAAAGGTAAGTAGAGCAAGTTTCTTCTTTAAAGAGTGTATCACCTTCCATTAAAATCCCAGGACAATTTACAAATCCAAGCATCTTGAGACTGCTGTTCTTCTGGCTGTTTAGGATATCGCTATTACAGCCACTTCCAGCATACTCAAGTTTTGCTGTACAAAACCCATTAACAACACACCAAGCTCTAGTTCTGCAAACTCCCACCCTTCATTGTGAGCAAATGCACAATGACAAACAGGTTGTCAGCAACACCCTATGTAATTTATTGCAGAGAAATGGGTAGTAGGGTTTGAACCAAATGCCTGGAGGTTCTTATTTAGGATGGACCAGAAAGCTTTCCATTGAAATCAGTCTGCCCTGTCTGCTTTAGTGATGCTACACCCATGAGAGTCTAGAATATGGGCAAAAGCGTTAAGGATGGAAACAGTATCTTTTACTAGACTAACTGGTAAGATTAGAAAAAAAAGGAAAGAATTCAGAAGCCAAAGAACTTCTGTGAATTCTGAACTTTCAATATAATAAAATCATCTCCAGCCTCCTAAAAATCCTACCTACTTAATGTACTTCAAGGAAAAAGCACGTGATCCTCATGGGAAACCCTCATTTAGTGCAGCCCTTCACACGGCAACGTTAGGTCTCTAGAGTGCACTTTAAAGCACAAAGCCAAGCCCAAAGTGTGAGCAGAAAAGAAGTCACAGAGGATCAGACGGTTAATAACTACTGTCTGTGTTCAAGAAGCCACAGAGCCTTGTGATGATTTGACAGCGGTGTTGCCTGCTAGCTCACAACAGGCAAAATGGTGTCTGACTGCAAAATGGTACTGTTTTTCCCCGAGACAGTGGGATTTTGGGGTTCTGTGGTAATCTTACGTTTACTCATACTAAGGAAGGGTTCAGCTATGTTGGAAAAGAATTGGCTGGTTCTCACACCCCTCACAAACTCTCCACAATCATAAACCCACAGAAGGATTTACAGGGGAGCAGCAAAAGAATAGGGAGGTGGCAAACAAAATAAAAAAAGAATAGGCTGAAAATCCACGCTGTTGGTAAGGATTATTTCACACTGTGACTCGACATGGCAGTAATTCTACACGAGGGCAAGACAGCAACCCAGGTTTGGAGCAACAGGCACGTTTCCAGTAACATGCACTTCTCTTTTTTTGCCAAAGGGATTCTGCGTCACTTCTATGTTGAAAAAGTGTCCAAGAGAGAATTTGAAGAACTTCCTTACTTCAAGCAGATAACAAGGACAACCCCTAGTAAGTAAAATTCTGACCTCTTCAGGTTTCTATTCCCCATATAATCGTAGCCTTGAAAAACATTCTCTTTTCTTCAACACAGTCAAACAGATGTACTAATTTTTCCTCCAGCACGTGGCTCCAATATTTTATAATATAAAATTTAAAGTTTAGATTTAAATAATCAAAATAGAGCAATTTAAAATATAGATACATGTAACAGTCGTTCATGTCCCTGCTGTCTTAGTCTCCTGTATTCCGATAAAATACAAGATAGGCTGTTTTCTGCCCATACTGCCATAATTCTGAAATATGACTGATGTCAGCACAGCAGCACAATTTGGATTTATTTAAGTAACATGTCAAGTTACCCCAGTTTTCTAGAAAGTCATTTAGAAGGGAAAAAAATCAGAGGTGATTAAAGGAGTTCTCCTACATACATATATGTTATATTTGAAATAAGCCTTTCCTATGTTCTCAGCAATATTTTCATTATTAAAATCTGTCTTTTGAAAGGACATGTAATTCTTTTGTCACTTTTGATTCAGTTTCTTTTTTTGTATTTCATCCAGCTTGGGATACAACACTTCATTTGATAGTTGAGTTAAGGTACAGATGTTTTTAGTTCCCAGTTCTTCTACATTATAAGTTGTATTTTTTTCTGAGATCTCTAATAATGCAAGGAAGTATTTTTCCCAGGAATAATATATTCTTGATAATACAAGCTTAGTGAGAAGCAGATACCTTTTCATATAAAAAGTTTCCTAATTTTTTGCTATCAGCCTTCCATAAGCTTGTCATTGTTACCTGTAACACAGTATTCTAGTTACCAGGACAGTGGGCATTTCTATTAACATCATCAAAAACGTATAGAAATATTAATATTCAGCAAATACATTGTATTACATGTATTACACACAGGTAGGTAGAGTTCACAGTGCAAGAAACACATAGACCTGTTGCTTCCCAACTTTTAAATACTTCAGTTTACCACCAGAGTTAAATTTTCACATCACTCTGTCATAAAGCAGAGGATCCAATGTCATAAATGGTTGAATAAATAGGGTCAATTTACAGTGCTATTTAATTAAAGAAAGGAATAATACTCTGGTCCTTGTTTATTATTTTTAACAAAGTTATTTTGCACGGAGTATGTTACGTGATTGTAAGATACTTTGAATATTCTCCACGGGAGGACTGGACATTCTCTCTTTGACTGTTGTGAATCACTTGGTCTGGAGAGTGCTTGTAAATGTCTTTGACGTTCCCTACATGCTTTCTAAGTCAGTATGTGTCTCCTTTGTATTTTTGTTTTCAGGCCAGTGGAAAATATTTAGCGAGGGAGAAGCTCAGATCAGCCAAATGTGTGAAAGCAGAGTGTGCAGGACTGAGCTGGAGGATTTGGTAAAGGTTTTGTACCTTGAAAAGTCTGAAAAGGGTCACTGTTAAGGGAGACAGCACTGGAGGGAGAAACACAAGAAAACTTCTGAAAACTTGGATCTGCAGCTGGACTGCAGGCTTATTTTGCTTAAGTCAACAGTTGCCCTAAACCCCAAAACTATAATGCAGTAATTATTCACATCGTGCACAGCAAATTTGCTGCTTTATGTGTAGTGGTCTGTGTCAACCGTTCAAATATCTCCTCCAAAGGACTACGAGGCTCTGTATTACTGGTGGGGAAGGAGAAAGACTGTACTTTCCCAGAGTTGCATTTCTTTACAAGTTAAAGAGAGAAAACGGAACATTTTTATTACTCTTATTTGGCAAGTTATTCAAACTAATGAAAAGAAGAACACTTAATAAATGTGCAAGATCTATGGAGAGCATTAGTTCCTGTGCTGAATTTATACCATTTCTGGTGTTGAAATGACTCTTGGATTTTTTTTAGTAGCAGAGGAAAAATACAAGTGATACAATACTTGTGTTGGAGATATAAAAAACAGATTTAAACTAACAAACTCTTAAGCAGCCTGCCTTTGGGATGATGTCTTGTAGTGGAGCAAACTGAGTCCATAAACTGAACAGCAGGTGTTAGTGGCAATCACTGTATTTCTGTAGCAATTTGAGCAAACGTTTGCTTTTAAGTGGTTTTCACTGTTTCCTCCACCCACTTCTCTAAAAAATGTGAAGTGTTAGCTCCCTATCACAGCCCTAATAACTTCATTCTTCTGGGCCCTATTAACACATGGTCTTGGCTGACAAACTGCCTTCTAAAGTGACGTGGCAGAAGGTGGTGAAGTACTTGCAGTACTTTCAAAACACCTAGAGGGTTAAACCTCCCGACCAATAACGCCTTAAGAGTCACAGCAGTGCTTAATTTATTTGTTCTGATTTGTTGCAAACCTAATCTTCTGCATTTTTCTGAGGGTGACCTCGCAATTCTCACACCTCCAGGACAGCTCTCCCCTGACAAACACCCAACAGCTACAGCAGGCCTTTAGAACACAGCAGCTCTGTGAAAACCGTTATCTTCGTGAAAAACAAATCAGAGATTCTGTTAAATTTAGTGTAGCATGTCTACAGTGCGTTTCAGAAAGGTGGCTCTCAGCTGCAGGAAAAGTATAATTTTAAAAATGCTTTCTCTGAAGAGTCACCAAAATACTGCGCTGCCTCGTGGCTACGACGTTGGATTAAATCCCGAGAAGCACGTGACTTTGCCTGCTTTTGCTCCCATTTTCTACTCCAGGAGCAGACAGGAATACTGCTGTTCGAACACAGGCTAGGAAACAAAGCTTTATGGCAATGGTCTGAGCCAGGGGCTGGGCCTCCACGGGCAGTGAAATCAGCAGTGACAGCGAGGATTCTGCGGTTTGTCATTCTGCCAGTGACAGCACCCCGGGGTGTACCCGTTTCTAAAGGGATGAAGGTGTGGGAGAGCTCAGTGCTGAATCACAGGGCTTCTTAACGAAGGGGAGCAGGAGAGGAGAGCAGACATGAAGGCGAAGGAAAGGCTGAAGGGAATTAAGAGAATACATATAGGGTGATCTAAGGTCCTTAGTGATCTTGCCTGTCTATAACCGCCCCGTTGTCCCTCGGCCCAGACAGAGAGCAGATAATATTTAGGAATACTTCCCTTCCTACCAAGCACTCAACACAGTCCACTGCTTAACAGGAAAACACACTAAAAAGGGAGCTCCTCCAGCAACCACGTGGATTTGCCATAACAAAATCCGCTCATCTGGTATCAGTAAGAACCACGGGGTCTCTTCCCGAGCCTCTGTGGGCTGCAGGGAAATCCTCTGTGGTTCCCCCATGGCCACAGGGCAGCGCCTGGGCACCGGCACCTGGTAGCCCTGGCACCACTACAGTGCACAGCCTGAACTGGCACCAGCCCTGAGAAGTCCTGTGTCACTGTCCGTTAAAAGGAGAGCTGAGTGCACTGTCCCACTACCTCTCCAAGGGACTGCAGCCTCTGCCTCCATCAGTCCTCTCCCAGTGTTGGAAAGGGGCGTAGCGTATCCTAATGGAGGTCCTAAGACCTCGCTGCGCCAGAGGTTGCTTCAGCGTAACTACAGAAGAAGCAGTTTGGCATCAGTGACGTCTGCTGCACGTGGCATCTACTGGGTTGAAATGGGCTGCAGAAGTGCAAAATTTTATTACAAGTCTTCTAATCTGTCACGAATTAACCTTATCGTTCCTTTGGTGAAGACATTGTAAGGAAGAGGTTCTGAGGAACTGTAGCAATCTGGTGGGAAGACCAGCAGTTGATTTCTCACCCCACAGGCATCGTCTTTGTAGCAGTAGCTGGTGAAAAAAGACTGAGTGGAAAGTGTACAGTGTTTGTAATTTTTTTTTTTTAAGAAGAAGAAGGCAACCTGCTTTTTGTATTTGTGACAAGACAGATGGAATCCAGATTGTGTATTTATTTTATAATAAACACTTTAAGAAAAGAAAAAAAAATCATAAGCATCATTTAGTAAAATGCAATGTTGCATTTTTCCAGTTTCTGGTTACTTAAGACAACAAAATACACAGTGTCATGTTTTTCATTCTCTTCATGGGATGTATGTCTGTTACGGTACTTATTTATGTACTTGTTGTATCACTTTGACCTGGTTTGATAAATTAATAAACTCTGAAGTTGATAATAAAACAAGATGTTTTGTGCATGATGCTGTTTGGCCAAGATGTTTGGTTTCAGTTCCCTGTTTGCAGTCCTGCTGCTGCCACTGCAGAGAAAGCCCGAACCCGCACGCCCGGCTGGGTGCCGTGCGCGGCTGCCTGCTGTGGGATCGGGTGCTGAGCTATGGAAGAGTCGGATTGAAGACTTGGACTGCTGGACAGGGTGCAAAGTAAGGCTTCAGCACTGCATCCTTAACGCTTCAAGCATGAGCTTGAACGACGTGGACTTCAGCAGCACACCTAAGACACCGCTTTATCAAAAACCTAAGAGATATTTGTAGGTTATGAGCAGTTCTGAGTTACCAGCCCGAGAGGCTTTGCAGAGTGCACTCGTGGGAGCCCCAGTGAACTCAGCAGGACTGCGTGGCCCTCCACAAACAAGTTGACTTCAATTCATGCAATGTTGCAACATACTGCAGTGTTTAATCCATAGGGGTGGTAATGTTGCATCCACAGGGTGGACACTGAGCCCTGGCTGCTCACCACATCTGAAAATGAGACACACAAAGCCTGCAGCAGGACAGCTGTGTCCTCAGCGCTGCACTAGTTCATTCTTTTGGGTCTTCTCTCAGGAATGTCTTCTGCAGAATTTTGCACACCAAGTTACACTAGCACTCATCCAAGCTAAATTGAAAAGCTATAGAAATTACCACAACCTGAGTAATGCAAACAGACAAATTAGAAGGATCAGCAGGATGCTCAAGCTATCAGCTTATTTAGATTGCTTGATCTCGAGAGCCACGACTGTTTGCTTTCAGGACTTACTACTAGGGCAACAACAGTATGCCGGGAAGACAGTGTAGGACATGCAATATATAGATTTTCTGCTCAGAGATATGTTTGACCTTTGGGAAATACCCAATTCAATTCAGCTTTCACTTAAACAGCATGATTAATTTTCAAAATGAAAGCATTGACATCCATATACGGAAACCAAGTAAAGAAGAAATCAAGCATTGACAACTGGGAGAACGGTACAGGACGTAATTGCTTTCTGGGCAATACGTATTCTGAAGCTCAAAATAATTGGAGAAATGTTGATGGAATCAATCTGTGCTAATGACTAAAAAGAGATGGTCTTAAGAAGCATAAGAAAAAAGTGTAAAACATTAGCTCACACATGGCTAGCAGTGTAACTAAAATGAAGGGTATCAGCCTTGGGAAAGTGGTTCCACAGTAAATCACTTTGAATCAGTAAGTTCATCAACTCTGAAATTCAAGATGTCTCTGGAAATTCTTCATGAAATTAATTTCTGTTATTTCATCACAACCTGCATATCCATCTTAGCCATCTTGTTATTCTAGCGAGGCATCCGTTACAAGAATCCTTTCCATGAGGACATACCTAGGCATGCATACCTGCTCTGCTCTGATCTCCTCCTGTACCAGCTCCCTCCTCCAGCCCTATAACTATCTGAGGGGCATTAGCCCTCCTAATAGTTGCTAACTAACGGCTGCATCTCCATTGAATGTATTCTCCTGATTTCATAACATCCAAACACTTTTTAGCAGCACACTAAATCTTCTCACTTCTATTCCCCTCTCGTGTAACACGTCATCTCTGACTCCACAGGCCAGGAGGGGCTGGGGTACCGAGAGAAGAGCCCTACTCACTGCTATCTTCTTCTGAAATTACTTTCAAATACACCTACACAAGTACAAGAGAAAGAATGTGTCAGCCTAACACTCTCATCTTCATACACCCTCCATTAAAAGAAAAGGTCAAACCATTTCACAATTCAGATGATGAATACTTCCAAAATAATTGATAGCACATGAAGTATTTGCATAATATTGGTGTGCTCTGGTGCCTATTGTGTTACCCATCTAAGATAAAAGCCAAGATTTTGGAGATTTATTGTGGAAGGGGTGAAAATTGACAAAGTTAATCCTTATTTCCATTTATTGCTTTTGCTTGGAGTTTGAAAAATGTCTTCATCTTCTGATCTGAGGTTTTGGGCTGGATTACTTCTTGGGTAAAGTATGCCTGCAACCACATGAGTCTGTGAGCATGAACCCACAGCCCTGCCCTTCTCGCACACCAGCCCAACTGTGAGCAAGAATGCAAAGCATCCAAAGCAAAAACAAATAATTGATTTTAACCCGGCAAAACAGTTTTTAATGTAGACACACTGGATGACAGTTCAGCATGTTCAGAAAAGGCAGTGAGCCTGATTTCACTACCACTCAAAGAAAAAACTCCCAATCTGTCCTCAAACGACCTCAGCTCGAGAGACACAGATAGTACATCCCAATAAGCTTCAAGTGTAGCTAAATGCTCCTCAAACAGCACTCACAGTTAGTTAATCTCTCCACCAAGATCAATTCTATCCCCTATGGATTTACTTCTCCTGTTTCTCTCTCCTTTGTTTGTGTTTCAGGATCACAACACCACAAACTCAGGTGTGTTAAGGCCACGACAAATAAAACCTGCATTCTATTCCCACTGAAGTAAACAGCAAAACTCCAGATCTCTTTAACAAGGGGTCCCTGAAGAACCCATACTGACACACACTGTACTGGCATTAAACACAGTTTAGTGTTTTATAATTTAGTTTTAGTGCTCTAAAATTTAGTGTGTAGCAAAAGTACATTTCATGCTTTTCACAGACGGATTCCCAGCCACTTCATGTTCCTTAGCCAGCACTGTTACTCCAGCCTGTTCTTCCTCAGCTCAGCTCTCCCTTCTGCCAACAGCTAGGATGGGACAAGGAATTTTAATCCTAATTTTAGAGGCATAAATAGGATTTAAGTGATGCTTAAGGTTTATATACTGGGATATTTTGTTCCACATCTCTAAATGGGAAGATTCAGGCTTTCCCATTAAAACATCTACCTTGAAATTAAGATGGTATTTGTTTTCATTTCCTGTACTGAAGTGTTGTGCAGTGTGGCCAGGTTGTATGCTGTTAAATACACATTTGGAGGGAGCTGCAGTCCAACAGAGACTGACATAGTTCTTATATAAACTTCTCATAGTGTACTCGGGGTGGAATGGGAAATGCTATAGAAGCATCACACAAGAAAGAGGGCCTACAGGAAAGC